AATCTCATACATCCACGCGTTTTCGTCACCGGAAACGGAAGCCTCGCACGCCGTTTTGCTATTTATTAATATTTCTTAATAAAATTGTGTATTTTGAATTAATTTTATGTTAAGAGACATAATTTTAATTCATTTTTATTATGTCATGACATAATTAAAATGTTTCCGAAAAATTATCTACTTCAGTTTAAATAAATTATTGAATTTTTATTTCAGATTAAGAAATTTTATTAATAAATAGCAAAACGGCGTGCCATAAATTCTCGTGCATCTGGTACAGAGTTGATTAGAAATTGAGGACATTGATGTCGTTTCGACATCAAATCGACATCGATCGACAAATCATTTCTCACTGGGGATACTGGGATCTACTATGGATTTCTCTAATAAAGTTGGTTTTGCACATGGAATGCGGTTAGGACAGTTACACTTAATGTGTAGTAAGTTGTGCACTATGTACACTTTTCGACGCCATTTTGGCTCCAAATCCTTATACAGTGGTCTTATGGATTGCGGTACTTTATATATCTAGTGACTTTAGGTATGCTGTCCGCGAAAGAGGGCATTGCCCCCACCTCCGTGTTGACCTGTGTGGAGGAGGGCTTGGACCCCACCTCCACGTGGGCCTGTGTGGAGGGGGGCCTTGCCCCCACCCCCATGTGGGTGTGAAAGGGGAGGGGCTTCTCCACCACCCCCCACCCCGGCTGCATACCCCCCTCCCCGCGCCGCGCGCGGCGGCCTTGAGGTAGTAGTAACCTAGCCTATCTACTGAAAAGTTATTTTATTTGGAGGAGATTTCAGACAAAATCTCCCTGTAGTGCCTCATGCACACAAAGCAGCGATAATTGATTCGACTGTTAAATATAATACTATATGGAGAAATGTAATTCAAGTTAAACTGTGACCTTCTCGCTTTGCTACGGAGAGCTCGGAGTATGGACCGAGGTCCGGGCGGCGGGAATTGGCCAATAGACTGCACGCTTTGTTCGTTTTCCGTCTTTTATTCTTTCATCTGCCCTAGGCTAATATAATACAGTTCCCTGCGCTAGTGACTTCTAATATCTTAACATCTGTCTTATTATCTAGTTTCTTATCTAGTGCCTTATCGTCTAAACGCCGGTACTCGGTCGTATCCTCCCCGGGTCTGGTCGCGGCGCGACGACGCGGGGTTGCGGCGGCGCAAGCGCGTTTCCCGATCGCGAGCTCGGTGTCGAAGTCAGCCCCTCGGGTCGGGGCCTCGGTAGGGCGGGCGGACGGGGCGGGCGTGCTCAACACGCACGTCGGTATTGAAGGAATGTACTCAGCACGTACATCGGGGTCGGTGGGACGCGCTCAACACGCACGTCGGAGTGTCGGCCGTACTCAGCTCGTACGGTAGGATCAGAAGGATGTGCTCAACACGCACGTCGGGAAGAGGGGTGCCCCGTTCAACACACGGGACGATGGAGTCTCTCTCGAAGCTCAGCTCGCTTGTCGAGAGCATGTGCCGGCTCAACTCGCCGGGCGGGAATGGTGCTTCGGTGGGCGCGCGGTGCCGTTATATAGGCCCAAGTGGGAGGTGAGCGGCAGAGAGACGAGGCGGGGGATCGCGCGCAAGGAGGGGGTGCCGGAGCTATACGCGGTGTTCGCTGGCGACTCGTTACAACTAAAGCAAACTATGAGAACTGAAGATGAAAGAGAATTTGCAAATTGGTTGTTGCAACTCGGCGATGGTAAATTGTCAAATATGGATGAATTAAATCCTGATACAATAGAAATTCCTCAGGATTTTATATCAGAACAATCTCTTATAACTGAGATTTGTGGAGATAGAATCACTATGGAACAGGTTCGACAAAATCAAGATCGAGCAATTCTTTGTCCTAAGAATGAGGATACGTTTAAAATTAATGACGAAATCCTTCGTTTAATGGAAGGAGATGAAAAGGAGTATCTCTCAATTGACTCTATTATGAGTGATGATCCACAGGAACAATTGAATTTTCCGACTGAGTTTTTAAACTCTCTGACACGCTCTGGAATGCCAGTTCATCGACTAAAAATAAAAATAGGTGCAACAATTATTCTATTAAGGAATTTTAATACGAAGAAAGGACTATGCAATGGCACGAGATTCATTGTAATTGATTTAAAATCTAATTTGATTCATGCGGAGGTTCTGACTGGCCCTGCAAGAGGTCAAACTGTTTTCCTCCCAAGGATTAATTTCCTTCCAAATGACTCGGAAATTCCGTTTAAGCTCAAAAGGAGACAGTTTCCTATTAGAGTGTCATTTGCTATGACAATCAATAAATCACAGGGACAAACTTTACAAAAAGTTGGGATTTATTTGCAAAATCCCGTATTTGCACATGGACAACTGTATGTAGCATTTTCTAGAGCAACGAAAAGAGATAATGTCAAAGTTAAGGTCGTTGAGGACAAAAATCAAGGACATCTCATTGAGGGAAATTCAAAAATATTTACGAAAAATGTTGTATACCGAGAAATTTTATAAATTGAACAATAAAATTGAGGGGAAATCAATAATGTGGGTGGTGAACGGTATTTAAATGATCAAAAATATTATTAAATCCAAAATGATAGAGATGGTTAGAAAGGATAAGTATTGCAGAGTACGCCAGTCACGCCCGATTCGACCGCACTTTGACAGAAAACGAAGGCGTAACGGGAGAGGGTACTGAGGCAACGTGTAACGCGTACTTCACCAGCACGGGGCGTAAAGAAAAAAAAAGAATAAACAAGTAACAGGAAAGTGCGCCGGAGAGAGTATTTCATGAGATTAATAAAAAAAAACGATAAATAGAAAGCGCAAGATTAGAAGGTATATATAAAGAATAATGAGAGTGGATTAGGCCTATTGGGGAAACCACTTAAAAAAAAACGCGCCAAGCTATCTACCACAAGGTGGTGTGGAAATGATAGATAAAAAAAAGTTACTAAAAAAAATTTCAAAATCAGTTTCGAGGTCACCATGTACAGGGAGATTATGGTCGGATTTTGTGAAATCGATAAAAAAATTGCAAATTTTACGGAGAAGAATTTCGCAAATGAGTTTTTAAAGTCAGTGACACCATCTGGAATGCCAGTTGATCGAATGAAAAAAAATGGTGCTAAAATTATTCTATTAGGGAATAAAAATACCAAGAAATGACTATGGAATGACACAGGATTCATTATTATTGATCTAAAATATAATCTGATTTATGCTATTGCGCGAGGCGCGGGCTCAAAAGCTAGTAATTTCATATTCAGGGCAGAAGGGGAGAATGAAGGAAGGCGGCGGGCACGGGAGAGAGAGGGACGGAGGAAGAGGAGAGACAAGACAGGATGAGGGAAGCCGAAGGAACGTGGAGAGAGAGGGGCAGGGAGGAGGAACAGAGAGGCACAGGATGAAGGAGGGAGGGGAAAAAGAAAAATGTAAGGTCGCTAATGGCCAGGCAGGAAATAGGGGGAAAAAAATGTAAAGGTTTTTGGGAACGATTTTACTGAAACAAACGCCTTTCCAGCCCCGGAAGGGGAGAGAAATAAAGAGAATTGATTGATTGTTTACTATGGGATATACAATTTTTATATTTATTTCATGTAAGGTTAATCAGTTAGGTTAAATCGAACTTTACATTAAATAAATAAAAAACATTCTACTAAAAATTAATAAAAAAAAATAAAAAAAATTTTAATTTAAATTTAATTAAAAATTAATTAAATCTTTAAAAAGTTAAATTTGATATTCTCTACTAGAGATATATCTCTTTCTTTTACTTCCACTTTCATAGAAAATTTACCAAAAATTATTAGCGATGTACTAATATCTCTACCAACTTCTGATAATATCAATTCTACTCTGACGGATCAAAATAATACTAGTACGTATAATTTGATTTTTACACTTATTATGTAATTTCTAACAATAAACAATGTGTTTCGAAAAAATAATATACATAATAATAATATACATACATAATAATATACATTTCAGATAGTGAATATGATATAAATAATGTGAACGATATTAATAATGTTAATAATCTAGTTACATTTACGGTATCTTGCGTGGACCATGTAGAACTCAATGGTACGCACAATGTAAGGGTAACATCAAATGGAGCGTAACTTGCGTAAGTGTAACCTACGTATCACCAATCACAGAACCATTTCGACGGAATTATTGTAACGGTTCTATTGGAATGACCCTGTGATTGGTGATACGCAGGTTACATTTACGCAAGTTATGCTCCATGTGATGCCACCCTAAATTGTAGCATATTGACGCAATGTATTAAAAAGTTTTTATAGACTTTTCTATAGACTTGGCGATGTAATTATCTGCAACAAAAAGAAAACATGTTAAAAGAAATAATACAAAAAAGAATTAATATTTGATCACGAGACACGGTAGTGTCTCGCGCCACGTGTAAGCGCAGCTAGTACCGCGCACGCGAGACCGACCGTGTAAGTTTACGCGAGTACACGAGTTAACGGGCCCTCAGAATTTCGGATCTCAACAACGGCTGTTTCGACGAAGTTGAGACTACGCTTAATCGATAGCTTGGGTACGATTTGCATAATAAAAGTATTTTTACTTTTCTCCTACGTGCCCCATGAGTAGAGATAATGCGATGCAAAGTCCACGGGTCTGAATTTTCACGTAATTTTTTAAGAAACGTCGTCATCGTCGTCGTGGTCGTCGTCGTGGTCAACCAGGCCAAAATCCATCTCACTTTTCTGCCGCAACGTGGCATTGGCGTTGCTGTCGCGTATCTCACGTAGCGTATACACGTCTCGCGCCAAGTTTAAATAAGTCTAGGTGTATTAATACCGTAGTTTTCGGTGTCTAGGTGTATTAATATCTTGAACTAGATGTCCACGTATCCCAGGTCGCCGATGACGACGTCCAGGCAGTGCGCCTTGAACTCGACGTCCACGT